ACCCTGGACTGCTGCTTTCGGGTTTATCTTCGATGGCTCTTTTTAAAAGGGCATTAGGCCCATTTTAGGCTACTCGTCTCTCCTAACCCTAACACCCCCCCTCGCCCCGCCAATGGAGGCCTCAACTCACGCCTTCGCCATATCCGACACGCGCCTTACCACGCCATAAGCTTAAAGGCCCTGACTTTTACGATTCTGTTCAAGTGGTCATAAAACTCGAGTTTACTGCCGTCATGATTTCCAAGCAAACGGGCTGCCACCTGTCGGAGTCACACAAAAGCGAACAATGACTAGAAAGAGAGACACTTCATCGGTTGTGGACCGGTTGATACTCAAGTGCGTTTTCACATTTTTTTTACGATCCCATTGTAGTTTTACCGCCACTCGTCATCTCATTTTCTCACATGCTACTGTTACTGCAGCTACTGCTACTGCTGTTTCTGAAACAAAAAAAGTTTTTGCTGCTACTTATGAAACAAAAATAGTTTTTGGTGCTGTTGACAAAATTAATATACTTCATGATGATGATGATTTATCCTGTCGTTTATGTACCATACAAACATATTATTTCTCCTGACAAATGATTCATCTTTCATGATCATGAATAAGGTTAAATTAAAACTAAATGTAAATTCTTGTAAAATGTAAAATCATTTCTAAATCTAATTAAATGTATTTTTAAGTATAATCATTCACACTGATAACGAAATAATATTCCATTTCACTTAATTTGGGATTAATTTTGTTTCCAGTGTGAAGCAGCAACGACCAAATAATTCTTGTACGAAATAAACTGAATTTGAAACAGGAATTACTTGATTAAAACTAGAATTATTTTTACACGAATCAAAAATTCGGAACGGAATAAAAATTAGGTTTTACTTTACCTTTTTCAAAAATCGGAGATCTATTATCACATTCGGAAAGTAGAAAAATGTTGTTTGTAGTTGCGATTTGGTTCTCTAAAGAAAACCGCCCTTTTTACTATGAGAGTATCAAATTGTAACGAATTTTAATTTTTTAATTTTTTTTAACAGGATTGCTACAGGTCAGGGAATTCAGGGAAATGGCATAGGGAAAGTAGGATTTGTCAGGAAAATCAGAGAAAAGTCCAGAATTTTTAATAAAAGTACTGGAAAAAATTAAATTTTTAGAATTCATATAAGAAAATTCTGAATTTTTGTGTCTGTTTTGTTTGCCTCATAAATTATGAAATTACCACGAATTATACAAAACCTTCAATTTTTTCTATTTCTACCAATAATTTCTTTTTAAATAATTTAATTTTTTAAGAACTATCATAAAATTATTACTGGGAAATTATTAAATGAATACTTTATTAAATGAATTACTTAAATATTTCAAAATTAACTAAATTAACTAAATTTTAAAAGAGTTACGTTTACAATTTTCATAAATTGATGAACTTCAAAAAGAATTTAATTTGAAATTTTACAGAAAATTTCAATTTTTGAAATTATTTAATTAGAATTTTTAAAGAACTTAGATTTTTGAAAAATGTTAATAATTCACAATATTTATGAAAAAAAAATTACAAATACTTCTGAAATTAGTTAAATTTTTCATTATATAAAATTGACTATTAAAAATAATTGATTTATAGAAGAATTTTAGTTCAAAACACTAAAAAAAAATTAAATTTTGGAGAAGTTTCAAATGATTGCAAAAATTAAATTATTTTCAAAAGTATTAAAATTCTTTGCAAAAATCCAATTCTGTTAAAAAAATTTTAAAAAATCCTCGTCAAAATATCAATTATCTTTATAAATAATAAAATTCTTCTCTGAAATTCAATTATTTTCAAACTTTTTAATAAAATTCATGGCAGAAATTAAATTATTTTCAAAAGTAATAAAATTCTTCGCAAAAATTCAATTATGTTAAAAAATCTTTAAAAATTCTCTACAAAATTCCTTTTATCTTTATAAATAATAAAATTTTTCTCTGAAATTCAATTATTTTGAAAAAATTAAATTTTGGAGAAGTTTCAAATGATTGCAAAAATTAAATTATTTTCAAAAGTATTAAAATTCTTCGCAAAAATTCAATTATGTTAAAAAATCTTAAAAACTTCTCTTCAAAATTACATTTATCTTTACAAATAATAAAATTCTTCTCTGAAATTTAATTATTTTCAAAAATTTTAATAAAATTCTTGTCAAAAATTCAATTATTTTTAAAAATTTCCCTCAATTCAATGATTTTCAATATCTAATAGTTTAATAAAATTTTTCAAAAGAATTCAATTATTTAAAAAAAAAATTAATAATATTCCAGCCAAACACTTAATTATTTTTATAAATAATAAAACTCATCGCAGAATTTCAATTATTTTTAAAACAATATTTTAATCGAGTTTTTCAAAAAATGTAATTATTCTTTAAATTTTCACTATAATTCGTCAAAAAAATCAATTATTTAAAAATGTGTTGAGAAAATTCTTTATGAGAATTGAATTTTTAGAAATAATTGAATTTCGAAAAAATTTCAAATTGAAGTCTTGAGAAATTTGAATTTTTCATACTAACAAACAATTCTGTAGAACTAATTTTTTTGAAGAAGTTTAATTGAATTTTTTTTTTGAATTTTAATTTTCTAATATATATTTAATTCAAGAATATCCGAATAATCGAAATTTCGTAAAAATGAATTGTTAGCAAATGGATTTGAAAAATTCTCTAAAGAACTTTTTCAAAATTTATTAAAAATAATTAATTTAAAAAAGAATTTTAGTTAAAAATTCTAGAAAATAAAAATTTAATTGGAATGATGATAATAATTTTGAAGAAGTTACAGTAACAATATTCTTATAATATATAATAATGATTTTATTTTATGTTGTTGGTATGGTTACGATTTGGTTCTCTAAAGAAAACCCCCCTTCTTACTTGAAAGTATCAAATTGTAACGAATTGATAACAAGATTTGAATCAAATAATAATTTAATCCGAACTTTGTTATCAGTTCGAGCCAAATTGGTGTCGATTGGATAGTTTCAAGGGAATAGTGCACCTTCTAGACTATTTTAAATCCGAGATCTGTCAGTTTGGAGAGAAACAAATTTTGAAAATGGTTGCAAATTGAGAATTTTACTTCTTTGTGGAAGTAAAAATAATCTTTTGTCGATGATCGTCCTGCTGCATCTGAAACAGAAAAAAGATTAGGAATTTAGTATTCTTTAACCTTCTGCTAAATTATTTTAAATTAGAAATCTACCATTCAATCTTGTTGGGAAAGTAAAAAATGTCGGACATGTAAACTTTGGAGAAAATTAATTATTGGTATCCTTAGAGAAGAAATAATGATCTTCTAAAATTTGTCGATGATCCTCCTGCTGCATCTGAATCATAAAAAAATAAAAATTTTTTAGTTTGGATGTTCACAAATTGGTATGTCTTAAAGAAGTAACAATAATCTTCTATTAATTATCCTACTACTGCATATGAAACATAAAAGAAGTTTAAAAATTTAGTTTTACTTTACCTTTCTTTCTCTGAAACATATTTTAAATTACACATCTACAATTCATTATTGGCAAAGTAAAAATTTGGATATGGTTACAAAAATTGTATCCTTAGACAAGTAAGGATCACTATCACGGATCTTCCTGCTGCGCCTGAAATAAAAAAAGATAAGAACTTTTGTTTACCTTACCTCTTTTATCGGAATGCTGCAATCTGACTTTGATTTCAAGTCCTCAAATCACTCTGCAATTGCGATTAATCTTTGCAGTGAAGAAAAGATCGTTTCTTACAGTATTGAAGCACTTGAGGCTGCAGGGCACTAAAGCAGGTGGATAATATTCGCTAAACATTCATAATGGTGAATCGGGAGATAGAGAGAGTGAGAGAGAGAGAGAGCGGGCAAATGGCCGACCGGTCGGGAGCAGCTTATGACGGGCATTACTCGGCTCGTTATAGAATAATTTACGAGGTGCGAACCGCGGGGGCGATAATCCAACGACATTTACATCCCAATAAACACTCCGATACAGCGGCGTGCGCTAGCCGAGGTTGGTTCGACTCACTTTTACGACGTTTTAATTGTATGACCGTCTAATTGGACCGTAAACCTCGAAAGGGCTCGTAAAACATTTTACGATTGCTTTACCATTCACTAAAGCAGCAAAACGTTTATCTTTTATTAATAACCTTTTCTGTTTGTTGGCATTTTCTTTTCAAGTAGAAGAAGAAGAAGAAGAAGAAGAAGAAGAGGAGGACCTATAAAAAATGAATCCCTAAAGGAAAAGAGAAACATCAAAGACGATGATATAATACGCTAATAGGGTATCATATTGGTGTGATGGCATCGACAATGTTGGTCGTTTGGACGTCCAAATGGGTCTGCGAGGTTAGTTCATGGTGAAACACAGAGGTGGCAGTGCTCGTACACGATCCGTGACACGCGTGGTTTTACGCGGTTTCCAAAGCTATTCTGGTAGTGGGAGCCAGGTGGGGCGGAGCTTCTCTGAATAGGGGCGTCATTCTATCGTGGAACTACTTTCACCTCGCGTAGGAATACTCGAGCGTGGCAGCACAGTACTCATGACGAATTCAATTCTGATTGGTCCTTAAGCATAACCTCCCCCTTGACACCCTGTATCTTCCCCGACGACGCTTCACGATCTCCCTTCTTCGAAGCGCCTGTACCCTCATCCCTCTTTTTCACTCTCTCACATTAAGTACCCGTTTGTTATCTCCTTCTCTCTCTCTCTCGCAAGTTCTGCTTTCTTTCCCCTTTCTTTTCGTCTCCCCCACCGTCTTATCTGCTCACGGCACGGTCTACGCTGCGAATTTAATCCAGCGGCACGTCGTTGAGTTACTAGAGCACACTACAGGGGGCGCTGATGGAGAGAGAGAGAGAGGCAATGACAGCGAGGAGTGAGAGAGTTGCCTGGGTGGCTCACGAGTGGAAGGGAGATAGAGACGATTCGATGAGAGAGGGAGGAATACATTATGTGTGCGTGTATGTGAAACGAAGAGAGAGAGAGAGAGAGAAAGAGAGGTTCTGTGAGAATGGAGAAAGGGAGATAGATGGTTATTGGTAGTAGAGGGGTGAAGCACTTGAGGGACAAAGATGGATACACTGTGGTTATACTCTTGGTTAGGTCTCGTGAGGTAGAGTGAGTGAGAGGGAGTCAATAGAGAGGGAGCACGCGCGCGAGGGTGCTGGTGAAAGAGAGACGGAAAGAGAAAGAGAAAGACAGAGTGGGAGAGAGCGAGTGAACAAGAGACGAACGGACAGACGATCGTACAGAGTGGCGGTACACGGGGCGCGAGAAAAGCACTAGTGTGCCGTGGACCACCGCACTGGCATACCGTGGTTTGTTACGATCCCTTTCGTACCTCGTACTGCCCAGTCATAAGCGATTCACATTTTCACTAGTGCAAGTGCAGTGCAGAGCAAACGAAACGACCCTAAATAGGCACTTGCCGATAGTAGGGTCATTGTATAGGTACTTGAGAAGGTCGTGTCGCGTGCCAATCGGCCAGCACGGTCGCGCGGGATACTCAAAGCAGTTTTATAGCCCGTCTTATTACCCGGTTTATTGCGTCGTAACATTTTAACGATCATCGTTCCAGTCGAGTGTCAATCCTCCCAACTGTCCGTAACCATAACATAAAAGGGCCATAAAACCCGCGCCATGAGTCCCATTTTCAGCTCCACTCAAACGGACTATTGACATTGGTCCCCAATATAACTATCGATGACTTTTATGGGCTTTTAAACGGTTTAATGCACCTTCGCCGTCCCTCATCGTTCCGGTACCTGCTACCAGGATCTCTCTAGCCCACGGGTATATTACCTCTCGCGCTCCTCACAAACAGGTGATTTTGGGTCAAATTATAAAGCCGGCCCTCCGGCACGGACTAGCAATACCCGGCTAGCCGAGTGTGCTTTCTAAATAACATTTTAATTTTTTTCAAGTGACGGTGTTTGTGCAAGTGTTTCAAAATACCAGGAATAATGAACTCGTACTTTGAGCAGAGTGCTGGTGGCTTCTATGGGAGCCACCATCATCAAGCGGGGGCAGCGGGTCAACATCATGATCCAGCAACGGCAGCTGCCTACAGGAGTTTCCCACTAGGACTTGGCATGTCACCCTACGCATCGAGTCAACATCATCATCACACCTCATCGTCCCTTGGAATTCATCCTGGTAGTGGTACCAATACGAGGCCCCCTCAGGATTCGCCATACGACGCGAGTGTTGCCACTGCATGTAAATTATATTCCTCAACGCCAGAAGCAACTGGACACACAACATCATCCTACTCATCATCGGCATCAAAAGACTGCAAACAACAAGAGCAGGCAGCTGCCCATCAGAATGGTTATGCTGCGGTTATGGCAGCCGCAGCGGTCAAGGACGTTTGGCAGTCAGCGACCTCGGCAGCAAATAGCCAATCAAACTCGGTTGTCCGTCCTTCCGCATGCACCCCCGAAGGCACGAGGGTTGGTAGCTATGGTGGCCTCGTTGCTGGTGATCCCTCATCAAGTCCTGGCAACAATGGATCCTCGAGGTCCCTCACGTCCTCCTGGAACACCTGCAATCTCAACTCGTCCGCGAGTCAACCGGTGGCAACCCAACTCCATCAACAGCCCGCCGCCAACCATACCTTCTACCCCTGGATGGCTATAGCAGGTGAGTTTACATTCATAAGCGCGCCGATTATCATAACAGTTGGGATGACATTCAGAACTAGGGGGAGAGCACGTGCTCGCAAGGCGAGTTTGCGTTCTACTCCCAGCTTCTCTCATATGTGCCATGCTATCCACATGCTCCAGTTGCTCTTCCTTAAAGATTTCCATCCCCAAAAAGAGTATTCTTAAAGAAAAAAAGGCATTCTAAGAAAGGCTTTCTAAAAAGGTTTCCTAAAAAAGGCTTCCTAGAAAAGCTTCCTAAAAAAGCTTCCTAAAAAAAGGCTTCGTGGAAGAAAAGAAGGCATCCTAAAAGAAAAGGCATCCTAAAAGCTTGCAAAAGAATCCAAAAGAATACAAAAAAACATTCACAATTGATATTCCATGACGATTTTCATTCCGACCTTCCCCCGCTCGAAACGGATTGAAATATCACACGTCCGTCCAATACTCGATTTATAGTCGAGTTGAATTAAAAAAAAATATTCCCGAATGGACTTGGAACTATCTAGCAATAACTAACTTGGACGTGCAAAGCAATACATCAATTTCCTCATCGCTAATAGCACGCCGGAACGCGATTTCTGAAATCCAGGAAGTCAATTTTTCACCAACCAAAATGTGTTATTTTCCAACAAAACGAGAGAATGAGAGGAGAACCGGAGAAAAATGATCTTATCCAGATGTTGATACAATTTGCCAAAAAGATTATAAAAATTAGTTAGAATCATATTAGTAGAAGTCTGATTAAAAATAATCTAGACTCTAGGTTTAAAAAAGCGATAAGTGCACGCTGCAAAAAGAACATTGCAAAAAGAATACTGCAAATAGAAACATTAAAATACATTGTAGTCACTTTTAAGATATTTAAAACATCTTATTTTTTCATGTTACATCATAGAAACCAATCATTTTTAGAAGATTTTGATAACTTTCTCGAAATGACTTTAAAATGACTGCAATAGTATCTTAAAATAAGATGAAGATAAAGATGCTTTTTACAATGATCCTCTACTAAAGATGTATGCATTTGAAGATGTTTCTAATAATTTTTTTTTATGCAACTTAGAAGTGAGTATAATATCTTAAATCAAGATGTATTCTTTCTAAAGTGTATACCCAGACCACTGTTAACTTAAAAGTATCAAATTGACACAAATTGGTACCAAAAATATGGATCGAATAAAAAATTGATCCAACTTTTTTGGTATCTAATTTGATCCACTTTAGTATCAATTTGCTAGAATTAGACTGATTCTAAGAAAAAGAAGAAGACTGATTCTAATGAACGTTCTACACTGTAAAAAGAAATCATCTTAAGTTAAGTTATCTTAAGTTGTAGTCACTTCTAAGTTTAGAAAAAATTATCAAAAACATCTTGAAATGATCTTTACGATGGAGGATCTAAAAATAAGATTAAGTTAAATCACCTTAAGTTATCTTAAGTTGTAGTCACTTCTAAGTTGTTTAGAAAAAGTTATCAAAAACATCTTAAAATGCATTGATCTTTAAGATGGAGGATCTTATAAGATCCTCCAAAAATAAGATGTTTTAAATATCTTAAAAAAAATCTTTAATCTTTAAAAAATCTTTATTGATCTTTAAGATAGTGGATCTTATAAGATCGTCTAAAAATAAGATGTTTTAAATATCTTAAAAGTGACTACAATGTATGTTAAGATATTTCTTTTTGCAGTGTAATTTCAAAAAGCATAAAATTAGTGGCATACTTATAGCTATGGTTTGGTTAAATTTCACTAATTCAGATTTAGAGTACCAACAGTATCACTGTAAAAAGAAAGGTACGAATTTAGTATACCAATTTTGGTACTAAATTTGTTTTAATTTTAATACCAAAATCAGTTCTAATTTAGAACCCTTTTTTGTACAGTGCAATAGAAAATGTAAAAAAACAGCAATAAAATCTTTGAATTTGGAGAATTAAAAAATGATAAAGAGAGAGATGATTTAGAAGGTTGTGCGAGCTTTAGGTAGAGATGGTAGACCCCGAGGCGAATTAAATCATCAATGAAAGTATTTCTCACGTGATTCATTTTGTTATATATATATATATATACACGAAAAGGAGAGGATGTTTGCTTCTGTAAACTCTTGATTTTACAGCAGGCACACCTGCTTGTTCCGACAATCTTGTCGAGGAATCGAAAGTGGTAAATAGACATACATGTATGTAATATATATAGAATAAAATAGTTTACGATAAGAGAATAAATGCTTTTTCGTTTGGCACGCCTTCTTGCCTTTTCACTGTTTTGTTAGAAACTAATATCGAATATGATATGGGACACAGTATAAGTTAAATGAAATGTAGGTAGAATGGAGTCAAGTGCGTGTAAAATCGACGGGTACATGAATATAATAGAGAGCCAATTGGGGTTCAAGTATCCAACCCCGTCATATTCACCCCTCTGGAACCTGAATTCCGGTAGTCAGCTGTTTTCACTGTTGACTCGATCCCTCCAGAATAGTCTCTATATAACACACTTCATTCTCTATATGTATATAATCACTGCCCAGTTGATTCTGTCTCCACTTCCTTTCAAACACGTTTCTCATCCTTTTCTTTTTATCAAGTATTTTTCCTTTCCTTTCCATCTGTACTTTTCTAAAAAAAAAGGGTTCGTCTTTTAAGTGTTCTTTTAAGTGTTCTTCTTCTATTCAGAAGAATCAAATCGTTTAGAAGAATCAAATGAACACGAACCCATCTTTTAGTTCGAATTTCCCTTCCGGAGATTTTTGACTCTAAACACACGAATTTTGTTCAGGTAGGAAGTCGGTTTGATCATCAATTGGTGCTGCCATCTTGAGGAAGGAACAGTTTTCTTGAAGAGCGTTAAAATTTGGGAAGAAAAAAAATTCTTTGTGGCAAAAAAAAAGTTGGAAACTATACCTGAAGTGGTGGGACCTCTGGCGAGCGATGCGCCAAGTATTGGGATAGAAGAAATATATTATTCTTTAATGATCGTAGGCGGTATAACGTAGGAATGGTTTGAAGGCGATGGATCGGCCCGCGTGCTCCGAGAGAAACAGGTTCTATATGTACACGTTTCGAGAGTCATTGACTCAATTCCAGAACTTGTATTTTCTTGATCGGTGGTATCATTTGCTGTTAATAACATTCTCGCCAACTATACATCTGTATTTTATCTTCTGTAATCGATGTTTTTGTCATCACACCTAAAGGGGTTGTAAATTAATGCACACACTTGCTACGAATTAATAATAAAAAAAAAAAATGTTGCTAACGAATAAAATGCTGCAAACCAATAAAATGTTGTAAATTAATGACAAAATGTTCCAAACTAAAAATAAAATTTTGTATATTTTATTATACAAAATTTTGTATATTTTTTTTAAATTAATTATCAAAATTTTGAACTATATAGACAAAGATGTCAAAACATTTGAAGAAAAGAAACTTTTTTTTTATATTTTTGAGAATGGGCAAAGTATGTGAACCATGAGAAGAAGCAAAAATATTTTTTTTTTCATATTTTTAAACTATGGCAGGGTTGCCACTCAAACTGGTAACCTGGAAAACCTGGAAATGTCAGGGAATTTTATAAACCTTGAAAAAATCTGGAAAAGACAGGGAATTTTTATCGAAATCTTGGAAAATTGTTGTATTCTAAAAAATATTATGTTTATTCTAGAAATCTAATTTTACTTAAATATTTGAGACTTATTACAATTTTAAAAGAGTCGCGTTTACAATTTTTATGAAGAACTTCAAAAGGTTTTAATTTGAAATTTTGCAAATAATAAAAATTTCCCAGGAATTCAATTATTTACAAATTATTTTCATAAATAATAAAACTCATAGCAGACTTTCAATTATTTTCAATACAATTTGAATGTAATTCCTCGACAAATGTAATTATTCTTAAAAATTTTATTAAAATTCGTTAAAAGAATTAAAGTATTTTAAAAAACCTTTGCCTATATTTTCAATAAATTTTTAATTAAATTTCTTCAAAGAATTAAATAATTTAAAAATTTTTAATAAAATTCTTTTTAACAAAGAAAGTTTTTCTTTCTTTTCAATTCCTTTCAGAATAATTTTAATAATATTCTTCGTAGAAATTTAAAGAATTTCAAAAATTTGTCAGAATTCAATTATTTTCAATGTCTAGGTACAATTTCAATAAAAATTCAGAAAAGAATTAAATTATTTAAAAATAAATTTTAATAAAATTCATCTCAAGAATTCAATTATTTTCAAAAGTAACATAATTTTTCGCAAAAAATCAATTACGTTCAAAAATTTACAAAACTTCTCCTCAAAATTTCAATTCTCTTTATAAATAATAAAATTTTTCTCCGAAATTCAATTATTTTACACAATTTTAATAAAATCCTTGGCAGAATTTCAATTATTTTTAATACAATTTTCATCAAATTTCTCAAAAAAAATTATTCTTAAAAATTTTATTAAAATTTGTAATGAGAATTCAATTATTTAAAAAGAAATTTTAATAAAATTCGTCTTAAGAATTCAATTATTTTCAAAAGTAACATAATTCTTCGAAAAAATTCAATTATGTTAAAAAATTTACAAAACATTCTCGTCAAAATTTTAATTATCTTTATAAATAATAAAATTTTTCTCCAAAATTCAATTATTTTTAAAAATTTTATTAAAATTCGTGGCAGAATTTCAATTTAATTATTTAAAAACAAATTTTAATAAAAGTCGTCTTAAGAATTCAATTATTTTCAAAAGTAACATAATTCTTCGGAAAAATTCAATTATGTTAAAAAATTTACAAAAATTCTCGTCAAAATTTTTCAATTATCTTTATAAATATAATAAAATTTTTCTCCGAAATTCAATTATTTTCAAAAATTTTAATAATATCCTTGGCAGAATTTTTATTATTTCTAATGCAATTTTCATCAAATTTCTCGAAAAAAAATTATTCTTAGAAATTTTATTAAAATTTACCAAGAGAATTCAATTATTTGAAAATTTATTAATAAAAT